TATGAAGTGGTCTTACAGTTAGTTTATCAAGCAGTGCCTTAACTATGAATATCATATAGATGGTAGACAGTGGTCTCTTTTTTTCCTCAAATATATCTCCTCAAAATTGCGATATAAATAGGTTGCACTTGGGATTAAAAAGTGGGAAAGGGAACTGATCTAAAAGCAAGAATAAAAGAAATCCTCTTTAAAAAGTGGTATTTACCTCTAGGTATGCATCTAAGAAAATTTATATAAATATGCCTACTTTCCTATGAAACATGCTGAATCTTTTTATGCATCCTTAGTATTCTTTGCTAAAGAAAAGTGTATATGGGAAGGAGGACTGTGAAAACTACTAAGCAAGCTACAAAAAAGATACTAGTTCTTCTCCACTTCCTCCCACCCCAAAGTCATTTGAGGTAAATCTATTCCCAAAGAATCAGATTTAATATGTTGTGCTTGCTTGCTCTACTTCTGTAAATAACAGGAAAAGCTAACTGTTGAGATCCGCTCAGTAGCTGCAAATGAGATTTCCTTTGTCCTGCATCCCTCTTACTATTACTTAAAGTCAGTAGATGTAGCTTTCAGAATACATATACATTGATAACAACTATCATCTCTTTGGCCTCATCCCAATCAGTGCCCTGAACTTAGGCTTTTAAATTCAGCATTCTGGTTGTAGTCAATACATAGCTATATAGAAATCGAAGTTAATGAGGCAGAGTCACTTCAATAAAGATGTGTTGCATCACAACTTTTAAAGGGAGATATACAGGATAAAAATCTTTTACCATATCTAACACATGGAAGATAAAACTTTGAGGATAAATTTATGTGTCATATTCATAATTATATTTCATAAAGGTAAAAAATTGTGATTACGATTGTATGTGTACATATACATACATATATTTACACACTACCTGTACTGGCTGTATTAAATTACAAAACAGTTTGATATTATCATATAAATCCTTCACATCTCTGGCCTGGAAGAATCCCCATTAGTTTAGAATTTCAGGACTAAAGAAACTGAATTCCAAAATAGGTGAGATTTTAAATGCTTTTAATGCATTTATCTCCTGGATAAATCAAATCTCAGCTATTAAAAAGTTCTGCAAATGAGACTTCTGAATTACTATTGCTAATCTAAATTACCATAAAGAATCAGGCTAAAAACCTCTCTAAAAATACTTCTAGTTCTGATTTTAAAAAAAAGACAAGTTGATAAAATTGAACAAACTAGTCTAGTGGGCTAGATACCTTTCAATTCCAGGCAAGATTCTAGAACAAATTATTTTAAAATTTATAAGAAATAAGGAAAGAAAAAAGATTTCTAGGAGAAGAAAAGAAGATAGGGCCTTTTGTTTCATTTTGCTCCCTTGCCGTTGGCCTCAAGCACTTTGCATGTTTTCTCTGCTATTTTCACAACCTATTTTTTCTTTCCTCATCAGTCTCATTGGCTTCCTTGTTCCTAACTGTCTCTGAAGGAAAGTATACAGGGCTGTCTCATTTTAATGGTCCTCCAGGTAGGTATTCAGGGAATAATAAAATAAGGACATAAGAATTCAAGATTAAAATCTTGTAAGGTCCTTAATCATATATTGACTCTACTTAGTTTCTTGCTGAGATGTTAAGTAGAAAACCCATCTGACTTCTAACTTTGTTTTTATTTCAGAGAGTGAAGTTTACTAATTCCATACTCTTTTTAATCTCGACCATTGCCAAATTATTTCTGTCCAAAGGCCAATATATTGAGCGTGTAAATTTGAGATAATTAAGAACAAGTCATGATATACTCTAAATTTGATTTCCTAGTTGGTAAGTTACCAGAGAAATATTATGGTCATAGGGGGTTTATATATTACCTAGATATTTAGACAAGTCCTAAGATATACTGACATTAGTCTGTATGGCAACATTGTTGCTTAGGATCATAGTTGATTAATGCTACTCAATATTTTTATTAAATGGATGGGTACACTGATGATCAAATCAGCAGGTGACATAGAGCTTGTAGGACTGAAAATAAATACTGCTTGATAAAATCAAGACCTCAAAAGATTTAAAAATATAGATCAAATCTAGTTGTCACAATTTTCCAGAGACATATGTAACATCCCATACTTCATTTAAAAACAGCAATAACAGGAGAAATATGATTTAAAAGCAGCATGTGAAAAAGACACTTTTTTAATTTTATTTTTTTTAGGCAAGGCAACCCTTGGTTGACCTCACAGATTGCAAGGACCTTGTAAGCTTACAATCCCTTATTTTTTTATTTTTTACTCCTATAGCACCTGGTCTTCCTAGGTGGTCTCCCATCCAAGTACTAACTAGGCCTGACCCTGCTTAGCTTCCAAGATCAGATGGGACTGGGCTTGTTCAGGGTACCATGGCTATGGATGAAAGACACTTTTTAAAGTTGTAATTACTGATTATGATTGTTAAGCTTAACAGAAGGGAACAATGTGATATACATGCCAAAAAGTTCAGTCTTATGTGTGTTATTGGAAACATTCCAAAATAAGGAAGATGGTCATCTTTCTCTCATACGGACTGGCTCAATCATAATTAGGATGCTGTAGTTGTAGATGCTTTATGAGAATATTTGTTAACTAAAGTGTTTGTCATATAAGAAATGGCCAAAGAAACAGGAGATTCTTACCCCTGGAGAATAAAACAGCTAGAATATGGTACTGAACTTCAAGTATGTACTTCAAGAAAGACGTATTAGTCTTGTTTTGTTCTTGAAGAGGTATACTATTAATAATAGATGAGTACTAGCGAGTCAATACTGGTTTAATGTTAGAAAATTTTGTATTAATTAGATGTCAGAATGGAATGAGCCTTTTATATACATGCCTATCGATGTATAAAATATTTCACAACTAAAAGGAGTTTATGAAGATTATATGAGATAATGTATAGAAAACACCTGACACATTTCAAACATGCAAGGAAAGGAGGGGGAGAACTGGTTATATACTTTCTATTCAGAAGACATTTACTGGATGAGTCTTACATCCCAGTCTTTTAAAATCTGTCCTAACACTGAGATTATGACAAGAAAACAACATGAGAAGCAGAAGGAATAGAGAGTTAGGGATTGTAAAGCCAAGGTTTTATTCCAACTCCCTCCTCACATATACCACCACTCATCAACTCTTAAAGAAGTCACTTAGTAATTTCTAACTTTCAATATTCTTATCTTTAAAATAAGGAGAAGCAGCAAAGCAGGTGAAAGGTTAGATAAAGAATCTATAGTGCCTTGCAGGATGAAAATTTCAACTATTACATGAAAAGTAATGTTCTACCATGTAGTCTTAGTCTATATATTTAACTGTCCTTGAGACTATTGGTGTATGTAAGACATGAGGTTTTTGTGTTTATTACATCCACAGCCATAAAGCCACACATTGTTCTTTATGTACAGGTTAGCATACTTTGTACCTTGTGACCCCACCATCCTGGTTCCCATTGACTGCTGATGCTGACCAAGGGCAATCATGTAATGGATTGTGTGGTACAAGAGCTCTGATTACCAGAGAGCCCTATACAAAATATAATCAGATTCTGATTAAGAAATTGAAGACATTAAAAAGGTAAGTACAGTAGAAGGAAGAGGAGCAGAGTTTAGCCAAGTCCTCATTTAGTCATGTCTCATAACAAAACAAGAAGTGTTGATTCACTTTCTGTACCTGTAGGATAGTCCCTATAACTCCGTCTGAAAAATGTTCCAGTTTTCCATGAAGCCTGGCTGTGTGTCTGCTGAGACTGTTCCTTTTCCCCCTTACTTCCTGGTGTACTCTCACAATAGCTAAGTTAACCTGAGCCTATCTATGTTCACTACAAACTGAAGTCCTAACGGGTAACAACTACTGGAGGAGTGCTAGAGTAACTCCCTACTTTTGACCTCTATAATATGGAATCTTACCAGACTGTTCTTTATCCTGTTTCAAAAGGTATTTTTTGGTCCCCACTAGTACAAAATAACTTTTGCCAAATGGATCCCTAAAATCATCATAAGTAATTTTTAAATTCCTTGAGATAGTAAGGTTTTAAATGGAGAAGTTAGAAAACTGCTTCAGTAATTATTGGGGTAACAGTGTACTATGGAAATTATTGTCTGAAGAGATAAGCCAGGATTCTAATATCCATTCTAATTCCTGTAATATGATCTTTGAGACATCTGAGCCTAAGTGATCTGAGGCTAAGGTCACATACTTAAAATTAGAAAAATAATATATTATCTGCCTGAAGGTATGACTAGGAGATTTCTTCAGGTAATTTTCACTTGTAAAGACAAAGATTCTCTGACCAGATAAACAAGATTCCACTCTAATCCCATTCTTGTTTGTTTCCTGTGGCAAGGTGGCTGCATGGACCAAGCATATATATGCCAATGTACTCGGAATCAGAAGCAGATAGCAGTCCTGTAACCTAACCACAACTATAACATACTCTGATTTCATAAAATCCTGATCACAAAATCTTTAAAATAAGTAAAAAGTATAGGCAGTTGTAGGAACTAAACGTTATTGAGTGTACAAAAAATATTTTGTTCTTTTCAATTTGTGCCAAGGTTGAGAAGTTTATATTTTTAAATAAACCTTAACTTCTCACAATAAAATTGCATTGTGAAACAAAAGAATGTTGCAAAGTGTTTCAGTCCTTTATGTTATGACTTTCTTAATTTGCTTTTTATCAAAGAAGAAATTCTCTTCTGTAGTGTTTTATGCTTACTATGTAAATGATGACATTACTAAAATTTCATTCAGGTGACAACTACTACTGCCCCCTTGCTATTTTTATTCCATTTCGAATCAATTGCTCTTAAATCTCATTAATTTTAAAAAGCTCAGATATAGAACACAAAAATGATTCTGAGAAAAAAAAATCTTTTATCAATACCATGAGCATTTCTCCTATATATTTCAATTCAAGAATAAAATTAAATGCAAATTGTCCTCACAAAGTCATGCTGTTTCCAATTATTTGTTTAGATAAATACATACCTCTGCTTCCATGTGATAAGCATTTTCCACTCTTCTAAAATCCTTTGTCACAGTTACATTTTCTGCCTGAAACAGAAAGTACAAAGTTATAATTACCTAATGTTTGGCTACTAAATAGAATTATGGTAAAACAAAATAGAAATCTGAACTTATTAAAATCAGAATGACAAAGTATGCAGAAAGAACTGGTTTGCCTGATGTTTTAAAACTTTCCTAAAAGTAACATAGCATAAATTTAGAAGCCTACAAAGTTGCTGAAAATTTCATTGTTGTTGAATCAGTAGTAATTTTTAATTAGTTTGTACAAAAAGTATGAACTTAGGGTGATATATATATGAGGAATTATTTGTTTATAAAACATTCTGAATGGTATAGGAATATTAAGAGTTTTAAAAAGTTTAATTTATAAATAACTTAATACAAATTTACTGAATACCTATATAGTATGCAACTTTGGGCAAGTTACCCAACTTTTTGAGCCTTAGTTTCTGAATTTATAAAATTAAGTTAATACCATGACACAGAATTGTTTTGAGAATTTAATGATAGGGTGTATATAAAGTGCTCGACATAGAGAAGGCACTCAAATGTAGTTGCTAAGCTATTATGATATGAAAGTTTCCTAAAATACTGGCCTCAGACCAGTATGTTTTTAGAAAATACTAATGCATTCTGGATCTCTGGGTAAATACAGGGTACACAAGTCTGATAAAAATATTAAATTTCTCATTTACTTTTCAAAAAAGTTTTAAAATTTAATGGAGACAGAAAGAACTTTTATTTCATGAAAGTTTTGTATCTTTCAAATTATATGCTAAAACCATAATGCCCAATATTGATTTAATTATATTATTTTGTATGGGATTTAGCTACATCTGAATTTTAAGATATAAACTAATTTCAAGCATTTTATATTATCCAGAAAAATCCTAAACAGTTATAACCTGAAAATTTGAACTGAAGTTCCAATTATAGCTCTAATGTCTGTCATTCTCATGAAAATATTAATGCATTTGTATGATAAAGGTAAAATCTGCTCATTGTAGAAAATTTAGAATACAGATAAATATAAAATGATATTGTATATATTGCTTATAATCAGCTTTATTTGCTTTATTAACATGAAACTTTTCTGTTAATATTTCTTATGACATGTAAACATATCTTGTGTTTTTTGGATGTCTTTTTTCATTTTTTTCTCTGCTTCACTTGATAAATACATATAAAACTTCTGACTGAAAAATCATTAGAGAAATAATTTTAGAAAATGTAGCTGGAATCTTATTGTTACATTTAATAGTGTTATTGTTTTTATTAAAAATAATATGCTAATTAAAGAAAAATCTAATACTAGAGAAAAAAAGGTAATGTCTCCAAACCCCATTATTGTTAATATTTTAGTAAATATTTTACTGTACACATAACCATATCAAGAGCTATGTATGGACTTTTGCATAAATGAAATTCTACATGCTGTTCTGTAACCTACATTAAATGATATTTTTTTAATTTTAGAATAATTTTAAGTTTACAGAAACATTGCCAAGATAGTAGAGAGAATTCCTGTATACCTTTGTTTCAGATATCTCTGATGTTATCATCTTATATTACCATGGCACATCTCTCAGAACTAAAAAACAATATTAGTATATTAACTACAAACTTTATTTGGATTTCACCTGTTGTTCTATTAATGTTCTTTGAATATTCCAGGATCCAATCCATGATACCACATTGCATTAAGTCATCATGTTTCCCTAGTCTCCTCTGGTCTATGATAGTTTCTCAGTGTTCCCTTGTTTTTTATAACCTTGAAAATTCTGGTCGAGTATTTTGCAGGATGTCTCTCAATTTGGGTTTGTATGATGGTGTTTTCTCAGGATTAGATCAGAGTGACAGGTTTTAGTTAAGACTACCACAGAAGCGAAGTGCCTTTCTTATCACATGTCACGGGCTAGGGTACATGATATCCAGATGACATTAACCTTGATCACTTGGTTAAGGTAGTGTCTGCCACTTTACAGTTACTATTTTTCCGTTTTCATGCTTTGTTCATGGAAGGCAAGTCACTAAGTCTAGCCCACATTCACTCAATAAATGTTACATTGTTCATTTTGTTGCTCAAATTTTCCTGGCTTTGGCAATTGGGAATTCTTTCAGGTTAGCGATTTCCCTTTAATATATCCCCATCTTTTTATTTTTTGAGCACTTCCTTACTTTATGATACAGGATTCTGCAGGCTCATGTTGGTTTCTTTGCCAGCCCTAGAATCAGCTATTTCTCCAAGAAGCTTAGTATCTTCTGTTTGAGATTGGTATTTAGAACCAAGATCTGGGTGTTGAGACTGCTCATTGTTACTGGAGTGTCATTCCCTGTAGGCCTTCTCAGTGGACAGTTTAATATATACATGTATACAAACTCAAGTATACACATAGCTCTACAAACGTTTCAGTACCTACCAATCTGCATATATACTAAGCTAAATATGAGTTTCCAACTCTAATTTGGAACCACATAGTTCATTCTAACCATCCTTTTGTATCTGTAACTTCTCTCTCCAATAGTGAGAAATCTGGCCCCCGTCACTCACCAACCACTTGTGTGTAAAACAAGTATCCCCTTGGAAAATAATTACCAACTAGAGTGTTTGTTTATCTTTTCATCTTTATCCTTAGTTTCCGGTCAAAACACCATTTTTGAAAGTTACTTAGGACACTCTTCTCCTCCCCTTCCCCCTGTTCAGTGTAGTTGTATCATTCATTTGTAATAGCGTCAGGTTCATTTGTCATGGTATGGTTTCTGCCCTGGGATTGAACCTCATTTTGATGCCCTCCCCGCATTTGCATGCATTAATGTATGTTCACTCTTTGTGATTTACAGCTCTCTGGGTTCTGACATATGCATAGGCATGTATTCATCATCCCAGTGCCACAAATAATAGTTCTTTCACCTGAGAAATTCCTCTGTGCATCCCTTTTATAGTGTGCCAACCTATCCAACAGTCACTGTCAATGATTTTTTTTCTGTCCCTACAGCTTCTCCTTTTCCAGATGTCACATGAATGGATCATAAATTTAGGTCTGGCTTCTTTCATTTATGATATGTATTTAAGATTCGTCCATGTTGTTCTGTGGAGCAATAGCTTGTACCTTTTTATTGACGAATAATATTCCAATGCATGGATGTATTATCCATTCCCCTGTTGAAGACATCTTGGTTACTTCCAGTTTTAGCAATTTGTGAATAAAGCCACTATAAGCATCATGTGAAAATTATGTAAACGTCAGTTTTCAATTCTCTTGTGTGTCTGAATGGTTCCTACATTTGACTTTATAAGAAACTGTAAGACTGTCTTCCAAAATGGCTGTACCATTTTGCAATCTCACCAACATTGAATTGAAATTTGTTGCTTTACATTTTTGCCAGCATTTGCTATCATCAGTGATATTGGATTTTGGCCATTCTGAAAGCTGCTTAGTGATATCTCATGGTTTAAATTTTTATTTCCCTAATGACAAATAATGTTGAGCATCTTTTCATATATTTGCCATCTGTATATATTCTTTAGTGAACTATCTGTTCAGATAGTTTGTGATTTTTAATTGAGCTGCTTATTTATTTATTGTTGAATTGAGTTCTTTATATATTCTTGATACAATTCCTTTATCAGATATGTGATATACAAATATTTTCTCCCAGTCTGTGGAATGTCTTTTTCAAAAGACTATTTTTTCTGAGCAGTTTTGTGTTCAGAGAAGAATTAAATGGAAAGTACAGATTTCCCATGTACCCTGTTTCCATACATGCATAGCCTTCACCATTCAACACCTCCACTATAATGGTACATTGGTTCCATATGATGAACCTACACTCACACATCATGATCACCCAAAGTTCATAATTTATATTAGGGTTCACTCTTGGTGTTCTATATTCTGTGAGTTTGGACAAATGTATGACATGTATCTATAATTCCTGAATCATATAGAGGATTTTTACTGCCCTAAAAATCCTCTGTGCCGTACCTATTCATCCTTCTCTCTCTCCCAACCCCTGATCTTTTTACCATCTTCATAGTTTGCCTTTTCCAGAATGTCATAGTTGAAACATTACAGTACATAGCTTTTTCAGATAGACTTCTTTCACTTTGTAATATCCATTTAAGTTTCATCCATACCTTTTCATGGCTTGATAGCTCACTTCATTTTAGCAGTGAATAATATTCCATTGTCTGGAGGTACAGCAATTTGTTAATCTATTCACCATCTGAAGGACATCTTGGTTGCTTCCAAGTTTTGGCAATTGGATTGTCTTTTCCTTTTCTTAACAATGTTTTTTTTTTTTTTTTGCAAAGCAAAAGTTTTTCATTTAGATAAAGTCCAATTTATCTTATTGTTTTTTCATGGATTGTGCTTTTGGTAATATATCTAAAAACTTATCTTCAAACCCAATGTTACACAGATTTTTCTCCTTAATGTGTTATTTTTAGGTCTATGATCCATTTTGAACCATTTTTGTAAAAAGTATGAGTTATATAGTTCAAGGTTCATTTTTTGCACATGGACATTCAATTGTTACAGCATCATCTGTGGAAAAGACTCCTTTCTTTACTGACTTGCCTTTATATAATTACTGTTTTTCTCTTTGGAGAAAAAATCTTAGATGCAGTAAGATACTTATTTGGTGTAGCCCAGTGGTTCTTTTTAAGATTTTTATTTTAGCCAGTAATTCTTAAAAGAAAGTGCTGTGTAACTGAAAGCAATCTATATAAGAAGATAGTTACCTTGATTTTCAATGTAGTCAGATCTTTGATAAATTTTATAATTCTAAATAATGTTATAGGGAGTGGGGAGATAAAAATTGCCTGTTGGCGATCAGATTGGAAAATTCTAGGCAGAATGTAAACAGTGTTTTCAACAGGATACAGACAGAACCTAAGCAAAATTTCTAACTGACCTGCAACCACAAAATTGATTAACAGTTTTTCACTGCTTGATTGCTGCCCTTTACAGAAGGCAACTCTAGACCAACTGTAATCCTCTGAGTTTTCTATGATAAAAATGAAT